ACACCTGATTTTCAGAATCCTTTGATTCTTGGAGCTTGGCTAAACAAAGTCAGTTTTGATGAATGGCTTTTCTACAAAAGAATCCCACCAACCCATAACCTTTCTAAGTCTTCACTGTCCACTAAATTAGGAAAACCTTGGAATATTACAGGGCCAAATGGAGTTCCATCAGCATCCAAAGCTGCAAAATCTCAGGGATCTGCTAATATAGATGTGCAGACAGCAAAATGCAGAGGTAAAAACCCTTTGCAAAATCTAAACTCACTCCACAGAATGGAATAGTATTCAGCAATGATAAGAAATGAAGCACTGAAATATGCCACAACATGGGTGAACCTTGAAAACACTGTGCTAAATGAAAGGCAGTTACAAAATACTTCATATTGTAGGATCCCATTTATATGAAATATCCAGAATAAGTAAATGCATATAGACAGAAAGTAGATTAGTGGTTGACTAGGGCTTGAAGGGGTGAGGGTTGGGGGGTGATAGCTAACAGGTATAGGTTTTCTTTTAAGGAGGATGAAAACATTCCAATCTTAAATTATAATGGTTATATTCACAACCTGTGAATATAATAAAAATATTGAACTATACACTTTAAATGGGTAACTTGTATGGTATGAATTATATCTCAATGAAGTTATTTTTTAAATCTAACTGGTTAGTGGTTCCTTTATTCTTTTTTTTTTTTTTCTAATGTTTGTTTATTTTTGAGAGAGAAAGAGAGAGTGTAAGCAGGGGAGGAGGAGAGAAGGAGGGAGACACAGATTCCGAAGCAGGCTCCAGGCTCCGAGCTGTCAGCACAGAGCCTGACGCAGGGCTCAAACTCTCAAACCAGGAGATCATGACCTGAGCTGATGTCGGTCGCTTAACCCACTGAGCCACCCAGGAGCCCCAGTGGATCCTTTATTCTTTGCTGCTTGCAGCAATATCCTCTCCATTAAAAACTAAAGACAAGAGCTCACAGTGTGGTCGTGGGTTGAAAGTTATGAAGTATCTTGGCTTTAGAAGTATACTTACCTTGCCTTTTCCATCTATCACCTCCACTTTATTTCAATATCAATCATTTTAGATGAATTGTATGATGGAAACTGCTTAAATAAATGCAAAATTTATCTATGCTTAAACCAAAGCCTACAGATTACATTCGTTATTTCTCCACAGCAACGACTGTTCTCTCCTTTATTTAGTACAAACTGACCACTTTTGTTAGCAATCTTCTTCTGATTATTTGCAACAGTGACCTTCCAACAACTAAAGCTCCACTTTCACAGGAGTTCTTTGTTCTCCTAAGAGATATAAGTATCGCGTAACAATGACAGGCAATATTGGCAAAACCCTCTTTGCCGGTCCTAGTGAAATCAGCACAATTCCTAACTCGGGTGGAAATGGTACTGGAAAAGAAGCAGGGAAAAGAGATGACCTAACTCACAAAGGAGATAGATTAGAGTGTGGGCCAAGTAATGGATGGTCTTAAGACCCTAACTAGGAATACGTGATCTGAAATATTTTTACTAATTGCAAAGAATACCTGCTTTCGAGTTTTTACAAACTTTCAGGGTTTGTTTATTTCTTGTTGAGATATAATGACATACAACATTATATTAGTTTCAAGTATACAAATCATGATTCGACAGTTGTATATACTGTGAAATGATCACCACAATAAGTCTAGGTAACATCCATCCCCATAATAGTTACAGAATTTTTTTCTTGTGGTGACAACTTTTTTTTTAAGTAAGCTCTATGCCCAACATGGGGCTTGAACTCATGACCCCAAGATCAAGAGTCACATGCTCTATCGACTGAGCCAGCCAGGCACCCCTTGCTGGGAGAACTTTCAAGATTTAATCTGTTGGCAACTTTCAGATTTCCAGTAGAGTATTATTAACTATAGTTGCCATGCTATACATACGATGTATTCATTTTTCCAAGCTTTTGTTTTTTGTTTTTTTTGTTGGTTTTTTTTTTGTTTGTTTTTTTTTTAATTTTTTTTTCAACGTTTATTTATTTTTGGGACAGAGAGAGACAGAGCATGAACGGGGGAGGGGCAGAGAGAGAGGGAGACACAGAATCGGAAACAGGCTCCAGGCTCTGAGCCATCAGCCCAGAGCCTGACGCGGGGCTCGAACTCACGGACTGCGAGACCGCGACCTGGCTGAAGTCGGACGCTTAACCGACTGCGCCACCCAGGCGCCCCTAAACTTTTGTTTTTAAATTTAGAAAAGCTATGTGATCAATGCACCAAAGACCAAAAAAAAAAAAAAAAAAAAAATTGGGACCCACACTCCCTCCCCTTCAGATTCTAAAATCTGAGAAATTAAACATACTCACACGAAGGGACTTAAGAATAACAAGAATAGGGGCGCCTGGGTGGTGCAGTCGGTTAAGCGTCCGACTTCAGCCAGGTCACAATCTCGCGGTCCGGGAGTTCGAGCCCCGAGTCACACTCTGGGCCGATGGCTCGGAGCCTGGAGCCTGTTTCCGATTCTGTGTCTCCCTCTCTCTCTGCCCCTCCCCTGTTCATGCTCTGTCTCTCTCTGTCGCAAAAATAAATAAACGTTGAAAAAAAAAATTAAAAAAAAAAAGAATAACAAGAATAAAAACATATTATCAACTCAGTGCACATTACTACATAATACTTAAAATATTTAATAGGTTATGGAAAGGAAGATGTTAAATGTCAGTACCAGAAAGTAGATAATGCCTCCATAATACGGCCTGCTAACACCACTTATTCAAAGAAGGCTGCAGAGGATTAAGATACCCATTTTATAGAGGAAAAACTTATTAGGACTATTTACACACAAAAATTAATTCCAAAATCATAACTTTGGTTGAAAAAATTATCTAATTTTAATCTGTTTAACCCTAATTATTCAAGTGTCATCTCTGCTTTCTTTGTCAAATTATTGCAGTTCATCCCTCCAACTGATACAAATAACCTGTTTAAGATGAGCTACTCTTAATTTTGTTTCTCAAAGATTCCCTGAATTTGGAGAGGTAAAGGAAATATTTTAAGATCCAGGCCACAACATACATGTAATGCTACAAATAATAACTTGATCATTTCTTCTGCATAAGTACTTGAAAAAGAGATTTTTCTAACAATCCAAGGTAGACTGAACTCAACAAAGTGTCACTTAGACACTATGATCCTTTCAGTTATATCCCAGTGTTCTGGTTCAAATTTCACTTCTAAATCTTTTAAACATTTCCTTCAATTTATCAAATATCCTTCCTCTGGAACCAAATCTTTTCAATACTTTTACTATAAACTCATATATAGATGGCTTTGATCATTAGAATTATTAGACACCAGGATCAATTTTAGTTAAAAAAAAATATTAACATTACTCTTGCTTACAAATCACAAAACTTCATCTTGATATAGAATTTCCTAATGCATTGGAATCTTGTGTAACTATTTCAAAAGTTCACAAGCAAGTTTTCCAAACAACAATCAAGAAATTGGGCAAGTCAATTGCAAAATCATAAACTTTATTATTATCAACTTGAGCACTTCACTTGTTTTTCAAGGAATATCAAAAAACACTAAGTGATTTTTTAAAAATAAGTACTATAATGTGAATAGCTGCTTCACATCATGGACAGAACTCATACAAATCCATTCCTACTTGAGATGTGTTCTGTTTATGTGGCTGTCCCAAAAGGTGAATTTCTTACATCTTATGTTTAAATGTTTTTGAATGAATAAAGACTATGTTGTTACATTATTTGTCTACCTTACATGAGCCTAGTCTGAAGGCAAACCCCTAACTATCCCAAAATTCAATAAAATGCTCGGTCAAGTGAACATTCAATCATAAACCAGCAGAATAAATCATTACAGAGAACAATCATAGCACACTACTTGGTTAAAAAACAAAAAAAAAAAAAAAACAAAAAAAAAACCCAGAGGCGCCGCTGACTTGGCTGAGGGTCAGACTCTTCATGTCGGCTCAGGTCCTGATCCCAGAGTCGTGGCTCAGAGGTAGGATCAGAGTCAGAGTCAGGCTCAGCGCTGGGTGTGTGGCCTGCTTAAGATTCTCTCTCCCTCCCTCTGCCCCTCCCCGCTCGTGCTCTCTTTTTCTAAAATAAATTAAAAAAAAATTTTTTTAAGTTTAAGCCCAAAGAAATGAAAAATACAGAAACAAAAAATATAGATAAAAAGCCAGTGCACAACTTCCCTGCAGGTAATTTTCCCAACTTCTCCAATCCGACCTTTCTCTTTCATTTTTAAAATCCTCCAACTGAATGGAACTAGATCCATGTGCTTAGCTCTTAGTGGGAATACTTTTTGCTACAAATGTTCTTCTGCAAAAAGTATTTCTGATTGCTAGAGAGCAAGTTACCGTTTTGCAGAAGCAATACTTATGTTACACATTAAGACTCCAGAAAAGTTTAAGGAGAATTTTTTTTTTAAATTGCAAATGATACGAAATAGGCCGAATCCAAGTAACTAGAGAGAGGTAAGGTTCCAAAAAGCAGAAAGACTTCTGAAATTCTATGTCCTTCTCGTCCACCCTCCCCCCAAAAAAGTCAACAAAATGCTTTCATCGTCAGCACGGGGCCATTATTCAGGTCAAGCGAAAAACTTTACTTTAAAAACACTCATTAGGGGCTAACGAAGGTGCGTACACCGTGACTGGGGAGGCAGCAAGGTGACTGACTCCCGGCCATGAACCAGGAATGGCTTAAAGGACACAAGCCCCTGGCAGTTCCGGCCAGATTCCTCCCGCACCCACCAAGTGGCACTTCAGATTTCGCTGAGCTGGGCCAACAACGTATTAAGTATTTAAAACCTCTACAAGTCTAGGCAAGCCAGTAGCTTACTAATGGGGTCAGGGGGGTACGCGGGACGCAGGAGCTTCAGGAAGGACAGGGGACCTGGAAAGGGGAAGGCCCGGCGCTGGTCACCACCCGCCGGGCCCCGGCCCGGAGCAGCGCGAGCCGCCGCAGAGGCGAAGGGGCCGGCGGCGCTGGACTGCACTCACCTGCCCATTCTCCGAGCCCGGGTCCGACCCCTACCTCGTGACTCAAACCCCAGACCCGAAGGGCCGTGAAAAGCGAGCACGAGATGCGCAGGGCCAGGTAGGCCACGGTGCCTGCGCCCACCCAGTACAGGAAGCCAGCGGCAGGAAGAGCGCTCTCCATGGCTTTCAACTAGGCCTTACTACCTTCGTGAATGAAAAAAACGAATGAATGAATCCAGGAAGAAGCGCCTGCCCGTGACGGTGAAGACGACACTAACAGGCGCTGCTCCTGCGCCTCTTTCGGCCTAAACCCCGCCCACGGCGCCATATCCGTGCCGCCATTGGTGGTCTAGCGTTCCTTCTGTGCTTAGTGCGTCAGCCATTGGCTGATTCCAGTTTCGCTACCCCGCCCATGTCCCCCCTGGCGTGCCTCCGGCCGCGTTTCCGTTCTAAGACCGCTGATCGTTCGCCTGCCAATCAAGTTTCAGCCCCGCCCAGCGCGCCACCACGCCCCCAGGATTCCGCCAGAGGGCGGCGTGTCTCACCCCACCAATTCGCCCAGGTCTCTCATTGGCTGCAGCAGTCCTCACGACTACGGAAGACAGCGCTCCGATTGGCCAGTGAGACAGCCTCGTTTGAACTCGGGATTTAGGAGGGAATGGGGTCTGAAAAGCCACGAGTGAATGGAAAGGTGGTAGTAAGAAGTGGGCGTGGAGTCATGGTTTTACTTTAACCTCTTTATTAAACACTTCTTTTTCATTGTTAAATGTGCCGTTATTGTTCCCATAAACTTTTCCGAATAAAGGCTTGCATCTCCCGTTTCTATGCCTTCCACCCAGCGCATCTTCCCTCAGGTTACAGGCACTTACTGTGGACCTTCTAAATGCTCCCTTCCGCCCTGAGCATTAAACAGCACAGTTCCCAAGGTCTTGGAGTTCGAAGCAAAATAACTACATGGACTCAAACGACTATAATGCACAGTGGCAGAAGAGCTGTAAGATGAATGAAAAATGGAGGAACACAGCTTGATGAATAAGTAGTTTGGGGAAGGGACTCCTTGTTTAACTGGACCGTAAAGGACAGTAGAGATTTTTCTTTTATTCTTTTTAATTTACATTTTTTGTGAGGAGAGATGGGTGCGAGGGGACACAAAAGTGTGCGGTCCTAGTAGAGATAAGAAAACTACCTCAGCAAAGTTAAGTATAAGAAATTGTGTAATGCAATAAAGAAATTGTGTAATGCAACTCTCATCGCCCCATCAAGAGTTGTTTCTTTTTCTGGCATGGATCTGAGTTCATGTAAGACACCTAAAATTTTTCCTAACCAGTAGAGACTGCTGATTCAAGACTGGAGATTTTCTTTTTTTTAAAAAAAAGGCAGGAATTTAAGGGTAATAATTCTGACGGTCAACGGTTAACTTGAAGTAAAGGTCATAATTTTCTAATATTTAGTTTAAGAACCTTCTCTCTCCCTGCCCAACCACACCCTCCCACTCTTTTTCTACTCTCTTATAAAAGTATAACCTTAAGGCTGCTACTGTTTTTTATAAACCGTCAACTGAATTCAGCCAAGGGATTTGAGCAGGCACATTTTATATTAATTGAATTTGATATCTTTGGCTGAGGCTGCCTGTCCAATTCAGTGAAATCTCACCATTTCTCCCCCTCAGCCTCTCCCTTTTGCCAAAGTCTTCATGTGCCATATAGCCGCAAATGTATATATCCTGATTCATCATGGCTCATCTGCTAAGGGCCCTCCAAATATTCATGCTCCTTAGAATAGGGCAGAAGGGGGGCACCTGGGCAGATCAGTAGGTTTCAACTCGAGTCATGATCTCACAGTCTGTGAGGTGGAGCCCTGAGTCCAGCCCCACCTTGGGCTCCACGCTGGATTCTCTCTCCTTCTATCAAAATAAATAAACTTAAAAATTTTGTATTAAAAAATAGAATAGGGCATTAGGAGGGAAAGAGAGGTATAAACTAATAATACAGGGGCACATGGCTGGCTCAGTAGGAAGAGCGTGTGACTCTTTTTTTTTATGTTTATTTATTTTTGAGAGACAGTGAGCGTGGGGGAGGGGCAGAGAGAGAGGGAGACGCGGAATCCAAAGCAGGCTCCAGGTTCCTAGCTGTCAGTCAGCACAGAGCCCGACACCGGGCTGGAACTCACAAACCATGAGATCACAACCTGAGCTGAAGTCGGATGCTTCACCGGCTGAGCCCCCCGGGCGCGCCATGAGAGTGTGTGACTCTTGATCTCAGGGTTGTAAGTTTGAGCCCCACGTTGGGTATAGAGATTATTTTAAAATCTTAAAAAAATAAACTGACAATGTGTATTTTTGATGCATTTGTATGTCTGTCTATGACCCCCACTAGAACTTAAAATTATTGCGAACACGATGTTGTGAATCCATAGAATGTAGAACAGTGCCTGGATCCTAGAGACACTCTAGGTAGGATGTGTCAAATAAATGGAAGTGAAGATTCATTCATTCAACAAATATTATGTCCTTATGTACCGGAAACTGAGCTAGGTACTGGATATACAATAGTGAGCAAATGGGCAATTGTTAGTCCTCATCCTGCTCTACCATTCGACAATGGGTAACCACTGTTATCCTCAACAGCTGATCCCTCCCAGAATCCTTAAGTGGCCCCTCATCATGCTGGCTTCTATATGATGCAGTGCCCTTGGGCTCAGACCCCAGGTCTCTTTATTTCTCTCTGCAGTCTCCCTACGTGATTTTATCCCATCCCTTGGTTTTAAATATCAACTGTAAGTTGATGAATTCCTAATGTCTCTAGGCAGGCTCAACTTCTGCTCAGAGGTGTATATAAACATGTAATCCCTACCTGCCTACTCAACATCTTCATTCAGATGTAAAATAAAAATAGACACCTCAGGGGCGCCTGGTTGGCTCAGTTGGTTAAGCATCCAACTTCAGCTCAGGTCATGATCTCACAGTTTGTGAGTTCAAGCCCTGTGTCGGGCTCTGTGCTGACAGGTGAGAGCCTGGAGCCTGCTTAGGATTCTGTGTGTCTCTCTCTCCGCCCCTCCCCTGCCCACTCTCTGTCTCTTTCTCTCTCTCTCTCTCTCTCTCTCTCTCTCTCTCTCTCAAAAATAAACATTGAAAAAAAATTTTTTAAATAAACATCTCAAGGGAAACGTGTTCAAAGCGGAATCCATCCCCATCACACACACACACACACACACACACACACACACACACACCCCTCGTCTTTTTCTTCCAATCTGTTAAAGGCACCACTATTTACTGGCTTTCTAAGGTGTAAAACCTAGGGGTCAACCTAGATTTTTTTTCTTTGCATTTCATTCCCATCTTCAATTCTTCAACAAGTCTTGTTCACACTATCTCCAAAATATATCTTGACTGATCACTACTCCCCACTTCTGCTACTAACAACCTAATCCAAACGACAAGCATTTCTTGCCTGGAATATGGGAATAGCCTCCTCCTAACTGGTCTCCCTGAATCTGTCGTGGGGTTTGTTCTCTGTGCAGCTTGAGTGGGTTTTTTTCCCCCAGTAGATTAGATATCATTTCTTCTGCTCAAATCCCTTCAATGACTTTATAAATCAGATTAAAAACAAAATCCTCCAAGACTCGTTTCTCTGCCCTCACCTCTCCAGCAGCATCGATCACGCTCTCCTGTGTTCACTTGATTCCAGCCACACCTCTTGCATTTCCTCAAATAAGTCAAGTTCACTGCAGTCTCAGAGCAGTTCTATTTCCTGTTCTCTTCCCAGAACCTCTTACCCTCTATCTCCTAAAGCTCACTTCTTTATATTATTTGGGCTTCTGTTCACATGATCTCCCACTTAAAGTGGTTTTCTCTGATGGACCTACATGAATAGACCAAATAGCCTCCTCTCCTTTGCCCCATCACTACTTATCTTTTTACCCTAATTTATTTTCCTTATAACACTTAATGCTTTCAAAGTGTTTGATTACTTGGGTTTTGTCCATCTTCCCAGTAACGTAAGATCATGAAGACAATAACCTTTTCTTGTTCACCACTGTATGTTCACCTAAGATGTGCATCTAAGAGTAACTGACACTTGGTAGGTATGCAATAAATACCCATGGAGTGAATGAATGACGAATAAATGAAAATAGCTGGAGAGGCAGACATTAAGTACATTTCCAATTGATTATATGATAAAAATTGTAATGAGTACAAAGAAGAAAAGAATAGGGTTTAAGGAAAGAGGATAAAGGGAGGACCTAATTTTCATGGGAAGAGAAGACTGCCCAGAAAGGTCTAAGGAAGTGACTTTTGAGCTGGGATCTAAGGTTAAGTAGAAATAAACTTGGCAGAGGAAGGCCGGGTAGAGGAAAGGAGAGAGCAACAAATACCCAAGGGTTTGGTTGTGATTTTGAAGAACACACACATGTGCCTCCAGGACCTACCACAGCAACTGACATAAAAATAAACAGACAATAAAAAATAATTGTTGATTTTGGATTTTTTTTAATAAACAAGGACAGGTACCATAGAAATTGACTTTTGGGGCACCTGGCTTGCTCAATAAGTTAGGTGTCCAACTTGAGCTCGGGTCATGATCTCACAGTTGGTGAGTTCGAGCTCCGTGTCGGGCTCTGTGCTGACAGCTCAGGGCCTGGAGCCTGCTTTGGATTCTATGTCTCCCTTGCTCTCTGCCTCTCCACTGCTCACACTCTGTCTGTCTGTCTCTCTCTCAAAAATAAATTTAAAAAAGAAAAAAAAGTAAAAAAAGAAATTGACTTTTTACTGTTGTTAGAATTCATATTGAGTATGGTATTTTTACTGAGGGAATGTTGAAGACTGAAACCACCTCATTTTGGTAGCCATTTTTTTTTCCTATAATGTCTGAGCAATTAACAGGAATAATCTTTATTAAAAATGCACACATTTATTCTGATCACCTCAGCCTTTTATGAATATTAACTATTCTATTGACTAGAAGAACAGTAGCACCACAGAGTGAAATGATCTATGCCAGAGTAAGCCCTTTGGGTTCCAGATGGTTATAGACTTTTGGAATTGAACAGCAGTCCTTTGTCTATGGATAAATTTTATGAACCGCTTAAAAACTCTAATGCATACAGGAACCCTTAATGATGGTCTACTCCTATTCAGCAGTATTCTATGCTAAAATTTAATGTACAGACCAGGGTTTCCAGAGATTTGCAGAGCCATCCTAACCAAACATATGGAACCATTAATAACTTTCCAAAGAGGAAGGAGTACTATAAAACTTCAGGCTTTGGTGTCAGATAAACCTGGGACCAGATCCCAACTCCACCTCTTATT